CAGTGCAGGGGAAAGATTTTACTCTATCGCTTTGTTCCAAGCAATGGGGGCGTCCCGGGGCACGAAATGCGCAGGGTAGGAGGGGGTAGTGACGCTGGGTGTAACTAAAAAGGTGCAAAGCCACACCCTATTTTGGAGCGCCCACCCCCTTTTGGAATTCCCGCCCCCATTTGAAGATCTCCAGGTTGCAGTTATACCTTTCTCGGTTTCTGTGTTCTCGCTGTTATACGTTTGGGGGCGCTATTGTGCATCTCCTGAATGAGTCTAGAATGTGCCGATCAAAAACACATGCAAAGAAGATGCAGAAACAAGCGATCTCGTATGTATGCATATGAGAACAATGCGATCATCAACAATAAACAGTATATAAATGAAAACTGCATAATATTACCAAGTGAAATGGCGATCCAGGAAGTGGCAAAGGACTGTGAAACTTTGGGGGTGTTGATGGAAGAGATCTACTGCATCTTTGCTTTGATCATCCTACTGAATATGATCCAGATGTAGTATTTGATAAAAACGTGATTTTCTCTGCTTTTTGCTCAAAATGTTGCTTTTTTTTTTTATAAAACTTAACTTCATTCAAGTGTTGATAAAAAAAGAATGCTTGAAGCTAGAATAAAATGGTTTAAAAGTAGAGGCTCTGTTCTTTATTTTGGTGTATTGCATGTTCAGATATTTATAAAACAAAATATTCTGGGGGCCATGAAATTTTAGTGAAAATCATAAAAAATGCTGGCAACTTTTTTCAAAAACACTGGCGGGGAAAGAGTTAAAGGCGCATACCGCCTCCTACTGCACAACATCGGCATGACAGCTGATATAAAATATGGATCGGACTGAGGAGAGCCGATACCGATCAGTTAAAAAAATGCTTGATCGGCCCCGATCCCGATCCTTGAGATCGGCTCGGGACATCCCTATATATCATATATATTTATATATAGAGAATGTCTCTAAAAGAGAAAGTCTCTAAAAAACATTCCTTTTTGCATTTATTTGATCAAAGACTGCATCTATTTGATACAGAAATAAAGCTAAAATTGTGAAATATTATTACAATTTAAAATAACTGTTTTCTGTTTTAGTGTATTATAAATTTTTATTTATTTCTATGATCAAAGCTGAATTTTCAGCATCATTACTCCAGTCTTCAGTGTCACATGATCCTTCAGAAATCATTTTAATATACTGATTTGATGCTCAAGAAAAATTTATTATTATTTCTTATGTTGAAAACAATTATGTTGCTTAATAATTTTTGTGGAAACTGTCATTCATTTTTTCAGGGTTCTTTGATGAATAAAAAGTTCAAAAGAGCAGCATTTATTATATTTTTTTGTAACAATGTAAAAGTATCTATTTTTTATCAATTTAATGCATCGTTGCTGAATAAAAGCATTCATTTCTTTAAAAAAAACGTATTGACGGCAGACTTTTGAACGGTAGTGCATTTAATGCTAAATGTCACAAAACAATTTAAACCCACACTAATTTTAGATATTCATTCTGCTTGTAAAAAAAACAACAAAGATTTTTGAAGTATGTTTTACAAGAAAATACTGTTTCATTTTTTTCTGCTTCAAAATTTCATGTTAAATCATATGTTTTACTTTTGCCGTTTCTTTATAATTGTTTTAGAAATGTACTAGCAAATTTTACACCAATTTTACACCAGTGTATATATGTAATATAAAAACTATTCCATCTTTTCTCACTTCCAGTTATGAAATCATGCATAGCTGTTGGTCTCCTGTCCCAAAGTGTCGTCCTAGTTTTCAACGCCTTATTGACCAGTTGGAGCTCTTGTGGGCAAAGCTGAATCCAGCCCCTGTAAAAGAACCACTGCTGTATGTGAACCTGGAGGAAGAGGATGGAGAACAGGCCTCTGGGCTGGTGACAGAGACCGGGACCCATAATAGTGAAGAGCTCTCGTGGGGGGTACCGTGGCAGTGTGCAGGTATAGAGGAAGATGAAAAGGACTGGCTAATGGTGTCATCAGGAGCTGCTCTTGCTATTGGTGGAGACTACCGGTACATCATCAACCCACATGGTAGCGGTATTGATGACGAAAACAGGCACTCTGATGACGGACTGTCGGAGGATATCAGGGACGAGGAAGAGGATGTTAACATTAATGTGTGATTTTTGTTGTTTTTTTCCTCCATGCTTACATAATCTAGTAGTTTGCACAACTTGTCAAGACTCTTGTAAAAGAACAGTGGGTCCGTAAAAACATTCCTTCGTTGTTTTACTGGTGAAATTCCAGGAGTAATGCTTAACAGAAAGAACTGTTCTCCATGCTAACTCTAGAGGCATGACGTGTACGTACAATCAGCTGCTAATACCTTTTATAAGCATGATTTGACACCTTTATTTCAATGGTAATTACTAATAATGACTGTAGCAAAGCTATTGTTTCAACAAATGTGATGCTTAGGCTACGTTTACACGACAACGATGTAGTCAAAAACTGAATTTTTTTTCCCTTGCGTTTTTAAAAATGTTCACGTATACACAACTTTTTCAAAGCGATTCGCATTTACACATATCCGCGAAAACCCAAGTAGGTATAACTGCAGACCGGAGATCTCCAAAATGGGGCGTGAACTCCAAAAGTGGGCAGAACCTCCAAAATGGGGCGGGGTCTCCTCGAGCAAAGACTTTCACCATTGGCTGTGGCTTCAGCCGATTGTTATTGACTTACATTTCAAAATAAAACTTTATAAGTTAAACATTGTTTCTAGTTGATCTAAAATAAAATATGCTATATAAATAAATATTCTCCGTGAGAGCAGAGCCCAAATCTCGTGGCCAGTGGTGTTTGGACTGGAGCAGCGCAAATATTTTACTCTATCGCTTTGTTTTAAGCAACGGGGGCTTCCCGGGGCTCGAAATGCGCAGGGTAGGAGGGGGTAGTGATGCTGGGTGTAACTAAAAAGGTGCCATTGTCCGGTGGCTGGGGAGTTACGGAATGATCTCATATCGCATAATCTTTTTAACTGTTTATCTCCTGTACCTTGTTAGTAAACAGTACATGTAGGGAAGTGACGATTATGTTGCATATGATGCATCTCCGCTGTTGGTTGTAATATTGGTGAAGTAAATCCACACTTTGCTGAAGAAGTGTTAGCAAACTCTAGAGCAGCAACAACAGTACCATGTACTCCGCCATTATTGTGTATGTTTGTTCACACTTGCCTTTAAAATCGGCACGTATTGCGCATGTCTACATACCTAACACGTACTACGCATGCGCATGACGTCACCGTTTTCAAAGATTCCCATTTTGGGTGTTTACACAGAAACGATAATAACGGTGGCGTTTTCAAAAACTTGCACTTTGAAACCCGTTTTTAAAAAATGTGCGTTTTCAGGCCCCAAAACGCCGTTGTCATGTAAACTAACAGGCAAAACGCATAAAAAGTTTCCCGTTTTTGGCTGAAAAGCCCTTAGAGACAGAACTGTGATTTTTAAAGTGTAAAATGTACATCTTTGTGCAAATGTATCTTTGCTGGTACAGTGCCGGCATTTTTTGTGTTTTGTACGTGTGAAGTGTCAGTCATGTCCTGGGACTCACATATGTGGTGCTTTTGTTTTTAAACAGTTTCTGCACATTTGTTACGTTGCATGAAGAAATTCCTTTGGATTTGTAATGCATACTATGACATAAGCTCAGACTGTCATTGTTATATTTGTACTTAAAGAATGTTCCAGTGTTCTGTCAATTTGTGCTACCCTGTCAGATTTTGCTACCTCCCATTAAAACAGTGGGTAGTACAATTCGACAACAAAAAATGCTACCTGTAAAATTATGGTTTATTAACATCTACACTTACCACAACCATAAACCTACCCTTACAGTAATGCAAATAATTATGTGTTATATTCGCGGTTGTAGCTAGAAGGGATACAGTTACAGAAAACCAACAATAAAAATGTTTTTCTACCGATTAGATTGTGTTTTATTAAAGTCTACACCTATGCCCCAACCCTAAACCTACCCTTACAATAATGCAGATACATTAAATATTGTTCAGCATGAGAAAAAGGACACAATATTGATGTGCGCATGCATGCGCAGTAAACCCTGGTAGGACAATCTGATGGGTAGGATAAAATGTCAGGACACCTGGTTAAATACAAGTTAAACTGTATAAGCTGTTGTATAATGGAATTATTTCTATATAACGGTGTATTTGTAGCAGGAAAGCACATAAAGTGACTTGTCCAACAGCTTGTAAAAATGAACAAAAAATGTGTTGTGTACATCGAGTGATTGCACTAGACCTCCGTTGTAAGCATGTTACCATCAACACTTTTTTGGAGCCGAGTTATTTTCTATGGTTGTTGCATTTAAGCCAGATCATTCTGTTAGCCTGCACAGTAAATCTTCTTTAGAGCATTCTGAGGATGGGATTTCAAGGGACAATAGGTTTTATTATGTGCAAATTATTTGTGTCATGCTGTATGTTATGATTACTCAAACAGCAAGAATTGCAGCAGAGAATGAAAGCTGTTTTTTGCTTATTGTGTTTTTGAACCTGTTAATGAGTTGTGTGTATGATCTCCTCAATGGATGTTTCTAAAATCAGTAGCTTTTGTGTTTTAGTTCATTACTGTACACTACAAAGTTTTATAGTGTTAGGTCATGTAACAACTCATATGTTGTGAATAAATCTGACACATCATTCAGTGTTATTAACCCTAGTAAAGAGGGCAGCCTAATCATCTCAAAACAAAGAAATGGGCAAAGATGATGTTAGCATGCCTGTCCTCTGACAACGAAACCAAGTAACGGCAAACAAACGAGAGAAAGGCATTTTTAATGGAGAATTGTAAAAAAAAAAAAAAAAAAAAGGTTTTGATGTTAGTGCACTGAAGAAAAGGGCTTTGGCAGCATCATGAACATAATCCGCGTTTATGATCCCCTCAAAAAAAAATCTAGGATGACGAATCTTTGCATTTGTGCCGCTTTGTTTCAAATCAGATAAAAAAAAAGGAAAGGGTTTTACTTCACGATAATCGTCATTCGATAAAAACCTATGCGGTGCGAATCGAGGCAGCCATGACGTAAACAAAGGCGTTAAGTAAACGCATGCGCGGTACGATCAGCGAGCCTCTCGTCAGTCAGAGGCAGCGACGTGCTGACGTCACTGCACGCACGTAAACCTCGGAGGGTGAGACGCACGGTGTAATAATGTGAAAAGGGAGAGAGAGCAAAACAGCATTAACGAAGACAGGAGAGAGAGTATGCATAATATGCATTTCATATTGACGAAAGGTAACCGTCTAATCCGGATAAAGCTGTATCTGTTAAAAGAAATCGGAAAAGTTGGTTGAACAAGGGTGTTTTTCGTTGTTACTTCGTGGCCAGAGCAGAGCATCTCTCAGATTCGCCCGCCATTCGAGATGTTTCGACGTGCACGCGCCATCCGCGCCAACTTTTAGTTATCGGGCCTATTAGAGACACGCGCCATCGACGAATGTTACTCGACGCCCGTTACACAAAAGGTGACTGAAACTCCATTTCTTGACTTTGAATGGACAAATAACATTTATGCACATCGGTGGTTGCTGCGTTTACTCACCTGTGAAGTGTTTAAAATAGAGAGTCTAGTCATGTTGTTATGGTAAGCGACTAGTTTATGAGCCTTCTCGGTATTCATGCGCACGTTGCGTTACAAATGCGTTTGACGTGATCATTTAGGTTTTATTATTATCATAGACATTATTAAAGATTGGACTTGTTTTGCATTTTCAAAAGCATGTGGCTAGGGTGATGTTATGGCGTTGTCAATGCATATTTTTATTATATTTTACTTTTATGCATAAGAAATACATGGCGGTATATAACTAAATTATAAAGAAATGTTTTTGAGTGTCTTAAATTGCATCTTTGCCCTTATAGGAAACTAATTATTTATGATTTATTATAACATTTTATTGAAGGTTATGCAGCATTTACGCTAATTATTGCATACCAGCGTCTTATTCTAGCGTTCTGTTAATAAATGATAACTTATATTATAACTTTGACAATATTTATATAATTAAGTAGTAAATCATATGTAATTAATAATGCATTCAAAATGTTAAAATATTTTGTCTACTCTGAATGACAAAACTTTTACTATTTATTTGCGTTTCACTTTTCCGTGTGTAAATGGAACATGCAGCGTGACACCCACCTTGATATTCACGCAGTAAGAAAATGTTTAAATGATACTCGCATGGGATGAAGACTTGAGATAAAAGTGGCTAAATAAAAGTTGTTTTATGTTGCATAGAGTGTATCGCCTCATGAGGGTTGACATGTTGCGATCACATGACCAGAGGAACATTAATACGTACTGTACGGCAATATGTAGGCCTAGTACATGATTTGAGTGGCCCCTAAATATTAGAAAGAAGAAATAATGTTCATCAAATGAGTCCCAGCTTTTGGGTAATTAATCCGCTTCTAGCACATCTTTGAGGTAACATGTAGCGTTGACCACAATTTTGTGAGTTCTCCCCCTGTTCTCAAAGTGTAGTGAGTGTAATTACGGAGCACAAAGTAGGGCTGCATGATTAATCGAATGCGATTGTCTCATGTGCATTTTGATAGTAATGCCGGTTCTGTAATCAGCAGGAATAAGCAGTGATAAAGGCATTGCATTATAAATATACTTTATTTTAATGAAAATTATAATAATAAGAACTCCGATAAACCGTATATTGCCGTAGTCGTGTGTTTATTAGTCACGTTGAATCAATGAAAGCAGTTGAATCTTCTGTTTATTCAGCTGCAACGATAGGCATTTCCTGGGTTTCTTCTGCAAGGCGTATTTGGAGTTTCAGCGTGAGAGCGCCCTCTGGCCTTCGAATGGAGATTTACTGCTGATCACAGAACCGTGCTTCACTGAAAGATACGCATGACAATCGCAGCTTCTGTCGAATCGCGATTTCGATTTATTGTGCAGCCCTAGCACAAAGTGTAAAATAATGTGTTGTTACATGCTCCTATTTTAACAATAATGTACAAGAGTTTGTGCCATATTGGGAATATAGTCATGCAGCAGAGTGACTATATTCACAATGCAGCATGGCTTCAATGCCATATTGATTTTAGAAAAACATTACTAAGCTAGTAGTTGTTTTCATTATCATTATTAATTACCTAGTAATATTTATTGAAACAATTTTAAGCAAGTTAACATGACATGTTTGCACCAGACAACATTGCTATATATAGTAGTTGCTTTCAAGAACACATTGCTAAATATAGTATTTTTGACCAATCAGAAGCCAACAAGAATTCATATACATTTATTACAGGCCTCATAAGTACATTGAGTACATTTTATACATTCGCTTAGTCTAGACCAGGGGTAGGCAAGTTCGGTCCTAGAGAGCCGCAGTCCTGCAGAGTTCAGCTCCAACCCTAATCAAACACATCTGAACAAGCTAATCAATATCTTCAGGATTACTAAGGCTATAGGCAGGTGTTTTTTTTCAGGGTTGGAGCTGAACTCTGCAGGACCGCGGCTCTCTAGGACCGAACTTGCTTACCCCTGGTCTAGGCTATATTTGCAGGGTATTTATAAAGTTCTGAAAATTTTAATTCCTTTGAAAAGCAATTTAAAGATTCATACTTTCATACTCAATAGTTTTCACAAAAGCTTTCCATCACATTTTTTTTTTTTTTAATAATTCTGTTTATAACTATGTTCAGTTGTGGGTTAGTTAGTTACCTGTCATTTAGGGTGTCATATGACCTGTTTTAGTACTTTAAGTTATTATTAAAATATTCTGGATTAGAAGAGCCAGGTCGAGTCATGTCACAGGTAGGACAAAACACAATTCTCCATTGAGATGATAGTCTAATCACCATACAGACAAAAGATAAATAAAAAGGTTTTTGTACTTCTTTAAGAATAAACAACGTATGAGCTTGCAGCAAGAGTGAAGTTTATTATGCAGTTTCTGGCTATCTAGCAAAAAGCTGCCTGTACCTGTATCTTCTAGCCTACCTATGTGCTTTGATAATTCTTGAAGGTTTTGTTTTGCTGCAAATTTAATGAAAAATTTGTGTATATTGTCCCCATGATCAGTCAGCTGTGAGACTTCTTTGCAGCTACTCTAGTAGCGAATTGCCTGTCACAACTAGGTATTGCCTGGAAACTCAGTCACACCCAGTATTTTTTACATTTAAAATTTAGTTTTTTTTTTCTTAGCTGTAGTACTTTCTTATTTTTATGCTTAATTTGAGACGTTTTTAAGTGATAAATTAAAACCAATAATACTCTTTTGTACTTAATTCACTGTCCACTGTTGACAACATAACACAGGTTATTGTTATAGCTGACCATTAAAACATCCTAACTCAAAATACCATTACTTTGTTTTTAAAATGGTGCAACTAGTGGCACCAAATGGAACTGCAAGAATAATAATGATTGTTTCCAAAGAGGTTTCCTTGTTTATGTGCATACCTCCGTTTGTCCCCATGCATATGTTCAGTGTACACATGTATAAACTTAATGAAGAGAAACGACAGGACCTCCAAAATTGAATTATTTCTTTGGAGACTAACATGTTTCACTTAACTCTATTTTTTGCCTTTTGATTTTAGCCTCACTATTTTATGATCGTGAAAGAGGAAGTGCTATATTAGGCCTATTTGATAATAGTGAAGTTGCAGTGTCTACATTTTGTTTGTTTAACTTGTAAATTTTGGGGTGAGTAGTGGTCATGACAGAGTCAGAGGTTTATATGCTGAACTGTTCAAAAAACAAAGTGTACTGACAAAGTGGTTGAGCTAGACTAGTGGCAGTCAGTAAAGGACAGTAGGTGAATGTTACTCAAAGTTCCTGTTTCCACTTGTTATTAAGATGTGTTTTCAGAGATCCAATCACAAGTGGTCAGTCAAAACACATTACTGATTCCAACTGGTAATACTCCTGTAAATACTTGTGTTCAGATTTTGTCAAGACATTCCCCATAAGCCTGAAATCAGTTTATTGGGACGTCAATACTATTATTGAATGAGCAAAATAATGTTCCACAGCTTACGAGCGAAAGGTAAAGCAACCAAATGAGGATAAGGAGGGCAGCTGTAATTTTGCTAGTTACAACACATCCCAAAATTTAATGTTGACCCCTTTAAAGCAGACCCCTTGTGATCAGGGCCCAGTTGCATAAACTTAGCCTCTATGTTAAGACAGTGTCTTAAGTACTAGTCTGACCAACTAGCAGTTAACCAAAGGGTAATCAGTCTTATTTTTTGGATTCAACTTGGACTAATGTACATTTTTATTTAAGTAAAAAAAAAAAAAAAATGACCTGCCTTAAAGAAAAAATTAGCTGACTAACTTTTAAGACTAGTCTAAACCTTTTATGCAACCGGCCCCAGATCATAGAAAACAATTTAATACCAGGTGGAAACAGGGCGAAAGTCAGTCAGTGGTTGCCATGGACTGTTCAAGGTACCATAGCAGTATATTTGATCAATTCTCATTCTTAAGGCAACAGATCCCTTTGTAAGTGCTGAAAGTATTTTTCGTATCAGTTCCTCCATATGTTTACAGTTCTTTTTGACTTGAATGTGACTAAATACCAAGGCTTATCATTTACTGTTTGTCCCTTACAGAGCAAGAGGTAGATATAGACTGTTTAGGTACAAGGTAGCCACCTTCATGCAAAGTTTTGTTCCATTCCTGCACCTGCCTGTAATTTTCAAGTGTAGCTGACTCAAGTGTGCACACAACTCTGTTGCGAAGTGGATTTCCAGGAGCAGGGTTGAATAATATGTCCATGATACACTTTATGTCTAGGACTTACTTAGATGTCCTCGCAAGTATTACCTTGAGGCTAATGTAATACTTACGTATGATGTAATACATACGTATGACTTACCTATGATGGACAACCTCTTGCGATGTATGTAGTCCAATAAGCACCATACACTACACACATTAGTTTTGTGTTTCAAACTTTTCAATCATGGTGTCAACAGTTTGACAACAGACAAGGTATTACATTTGTGGAATAAATTGTTGTCCTCGCATATTTATGCATATAGGCCAAGCAGGGCTGCAACTAACTAGTAGAGGAGTAATCTAGTGAGTAACACACAATCACTATATAATGTAGTTGTTAAGCTTTCCAGTTGCTAGCTTTTAAACACGCGTTGACCGTGCCATGTCATGTATGTCTTGTTTTTTTAAGGATGTAGACCTGATATACGCTGAGGGGAGAGATTCGGAAGCTTTCCAGATGACTCCCATGGCAGATACAGAAAAGCAGGGAGCAATGGTGCTTCATGAAGAAGGCATGACTGCCCCAACATTGGCACCTCCCACTACCTCTCCACCGTCCATCTTTGTTGTCCTTAAACAGTTGCAGTCTGGTGATAGTGGGAAAGACAAGTGCAGCCTGATGGCAATTAGTGAAGCAAATAAAATGGTGAAATCCTCTGTTGTAACAGGCATCCATCCAACATCATCCACTTTTGCAGACACCAACAGCACCGCACAGTCTGAGAACTTGCCAGCAGATGCTAGATGTAAAGGCATCACTGTTACACTGGACAACAACAGTATGTGGAATGAGTTTTATAGATGTCAGACTGAGATGATTCTGACCAAACAAGGTCGTAGAATGTTCCCCTACTGCCGCTTTCGTCTCTCTGGAATGGAACCTTTCCAGAGTTACTTGTTGGCAATGGATATTGTTCCAGTTGATAACTACAGATACAAATGGAGTGGAAAAGGATGGGAAACCAATGGGAAGGCTGAGCCTCATGTTTCACGTTTATTTGTACACCCAGAATCCCCTGCTACTGGCCTACACTGGATGCAGTACCCTGTTTCTTTTTACAGACTGAAACTTTGCAACAACTTGGACCAAGAGGACCATATTATTTTGCACTCAATGCACCGATACCTTCCTCGACTTCATATCATACCTGCAGACAAAGACTCTGAAAACATTCAAGTTGACAGACCCAATGTCGTAACTCTAAGTTTTTCTCAGACAGAGTTCTTTGCGGTCACAGCCTATCAAAACCTTCGCATCACCCAACTCAAAATTGACTACAACCCCTTTGCCAAAGGTTTCAGGGACGATGCGGTCAATGCTCGATCATCTAAGGCCAAGAATGGAATGCCCACTGAGGAAGCAAAGAGTGAGCTCAAGCTAAGCAGGGAGATGACAACTTTGAATAATTTAAAAACTCTGTTCATGAAGAGAAATGCTACTGTTAAGGTCAGTAAGAATCAGAATGTTCCCAGCTCTACAAATGGAGAAAGGAAAGCTGTTAATGGCGATGCTACCATTGTAGATGCAAATGTTCCAAGTTTGTGGTAAGTAGTTTTATCAACATAAATTTATCAAACAGAATCAGATTTACACAAGAAACATACTCTACGCAAGTGTTTGAATGCTTGACCAACGCATTGTCCTGTTGTATGTACTTGACATGCATTCTTGCATTACAGTAGCATTAGACCTCAGTACTCCATATAGTTCCCTTCAGATTTTTGTGCAGTTAAATGGATAGTTCACCCAAAAATAAAAATTCTGTCATTAATTACTCACCCTCATGTCATTTCAAACCCGTAAGACCTTCGTTCATCTTCAGAACACAAATTAAGATATTTTTGATGAAATCCAAGAGCTTTCCGACCATGCATAGACAGCAAGGGAACTACCACGTTCAAGGCCCAGAAAGGTAGTAAGGACATCGTTAAAATAGTCCATGTGACATCAGTGTTTCAGTCATAATTTTATGAAGCTACAAAAATACTTTTTGTGCGCAAAGAAAACAAAAAAATTACTTTATTCAACAATTTATTTTCTTCCATGTCAGTCTTCGATGTGCATTTACGAGAGTACCACAACATATGCGTGTGGTGCTGTCCATCTCTTAGTTCATTGTCTGTATATTCTGGTTCAAATAAGTAAGGCTGGGCAAAAAATTGCAAGTCATCCATCCTCTCTGTCGAAATCTTCAGCCATGCTTACGAAGACTGTTTTATGTACAGCGTGCATCTTCCTCTGCTTGTAAACAAGATGCAGCGCATCTGGGTTCTATGTCAGAACACCGGCTCCTGCATCAACAGCACCACACGAAAGAGTTTTTTTTTTTAATAAAGTTGTTATTTTTGTTTTCTTTGCGCACAAAAAGTATTCTCGTAGCTTCATAAAATTACGGTTGAACCACTGATGTCACATGGATTATTTTCACAATGTCCTTACTACCTTTCTGGGCTTTGAACGTGGTAGTTGTGTTGCTGTCTATGCAGGGTCAGAAAGCACATGGATTTCATCAAAAAATATCTTAATTTGTATTCCGTAGATGAAGGAAGATCTTGCTGGTTTGGAATGAACTGGCTGTGGTATTATTCAGGTAGCTAGCCATAAACATGTTGACAATTTATCTAACGTTCTCAGCGAGATTCTCTTCAAGTGGTTGATCCACTATGATATCAGTTGGCCAGAAAGAGAAAGAAGTACTCAAAGTGTTTGCATTCACATACTTGCATAGTGTGTTTTAGGCTGTAGCCTGCATATAAAAATATTTTCAGATATTGTACATATTTGCCAGTTTTGCCAAATTTAACAATGTTTGTCTTTTCTCTCCCGTTCTCTGACAGCAGCAAGAAGCGCCCATCGTCATTGGCATTCTCAGACTTTATTAAAGGTGCTCATGTGAAAGTAAAAAGGTTATCACTCGAGAATATCACGAAAAATGGTGTGGTCTTGCAAACATCCACAACAAGTGAACAAAAGGAGGGAATGGACATATCATCCAAAACAGAAAATATACTACAAGTTGTTAGTAAAGATGAAACTGTGGTAGGTGACATTCACAGATGTAAAAGCACAGACACCTCCTCAAAAACAGAGTTGAAAATAGATAAGAATAAAACAGAAATGCATGAACACAAAGCTGACAAGATTACATTGCTATCCTGTGACCAAAATGATGAAAAGGGGATGGAGACCCTTTCTTCTCTGGACGCTGAGGCCAAGTCTGAAGCAAACACAAAGAAAGCTTTACTACATAAGCGGCCAGAACGTGTACCCCTACCACTCCTTGCTCAGTTTCTTAAACAGAGAAAGTCTAAGACAAGACCTACTACACCAAAACCTAATGTTCCCAGCTCATCCTTAGACTCTGAAAAGTCCTGTGAACCTGCCTTAACCCCTGAAACCTCATCTCCCTTGATGTCTTCCATCCCTTGTGTTACCACTAACTCAGATTCACAACCAGTACTTGTCTCATCTGAAAAAGTTAAATTATCATCATCAACAACAGATGCAAGTAACATAACATCTCAGTCCACTACGTTATCTCCATCAGCAACTTCATCCTCTGTATCTGTAGAAACACAATTATCTGTTAGATTTTCACCTTCCCCGATTTGTAGTGATCCATTAAATGCCCCAAACACTACCTCTCCCTCCAAACCTGATCCTGACCGAACACCTGACAATATCTCTAGTGTGTTTCATAATGCTGATGCTGTTTATATGACAGATCCTGACAACACACTCGGGTCTCAGTCAGACATTTCATCTCTCCCTACATGTGACACTTTGCATGACACTTGTTCACCTACTTCACCTGAAGTTAACATTGACTCTGCTGACACACCAATTGTCCCTTCTGTCACTGCATCTGTTTTTGATGTGCCATCTAGTACAGACAATAGCGTTATTCCTTACCAGCAACTTGCATCAGTGCCTGAAGATACTGGGAGTGAATCCATTTCTAATTGCCTCCTAGACACTTCCAAGGGCTCTTGTCCTGAGCTTTTTTCTGAAGAAGTTCCTCCACATATTTTGTTCACACATGAAGAATCCCTTTCCTTGCCATTAGATGACCCATCTTCCCCAGACTTCTCCTTACCCAGCCCAGCTCCTTCTTCTCCTGATCCATTTCCACCAAGTCTATTCTGTGAAAGACCAGTACCTCCTAGAAAGACCCTTGATTCTTTTCCAGAAAGACTATTGGACTGCACAGGTTCTTTCTCTCCTGACCTTTTCCCACTAGGTCTATTCAACAACAGGCCAGTATCTCCCAGAAAGATCCTTGATTTTATTCCAGAAAGACCTCTGGATGGAACTGTAACTTCAAGAGAATCATTGTCACCAAGTGTCCCTAGTGGGCCAGAACATCCCAGGGAAACAATTGACTTGATTTCTCAAAGTCAGTGCTCTGATCGACCAGGTCCTCTTAATGACTTGCAGTCTGCAGTTAGTTGTGAGACCAATGTTTCTGATCACATTGTTCCTGAACCAACTAAACATTACTCTCATGGAAGCACTTTCAAGAAATTCAAGGCTAAACAGAAAAAAACTGGAAAATTGAAGTTCAGTGAAGATAATGAGGTGTCCAAAGGACCCATATCTGTTCCAATGCAGCCCAGCCTGGAGGATGTTGAAGGCCAGTTGTTTATCTCCTTCTTGTCAAAGGTAACACAAATAACATGTCAATTTACTTTAGAATGTAGAAAGAAAACTTTAAAACCACCCAAAAATGGAATCTCACCCTTATTCCAAAACATTCATATGATGATTGTGCCAAGCTTGATATCAATGAAGTCATTTACTACTGCCTTTCTGGTAAATCATTGTTACTGACATAAAACCTGAGTCAATGTGTATTAAATATATACCATATTTGAATATACAAATCCAATAACTGAATGTATTCAAGTGTGACGTGGAGGGGAAATTTATTTATTTTTTTTTTTTAAGCAATGATTTAAAATGTGGCCTGTTCTTCATACAAAGAATTTGTTTAACTTCAGAAGAATTGTAATTGATGGACAACTTTTACTTTATTTGTTTTGCTTTATTACTTTAAAATGTTTTAAACAGTATTTTTTTTATTTGACCTGGACCTGTCTACAGTACACTTTATTCATTTATGACAGTACGTCCTTGTGACTTCTATGTGGTTTATATACCTTAATTCTGAAATAGAAAGCTCTTGAGATTCACCTTGGAGATAATGCCAAAACGGAGACTGCACAAAAAAACACAGAGAATCCTGATGGTAAGAATTAAATGTCTTATCGTGATTAATGTGAAGGAACCACTTTGAAATTAGCACATTTTTTATTTATATATTTTTTTGCTTTAAACAGGGGCCAGCTATGAAAATATAGAGGAAAAGATTGAGGAGCTAGAGAAAATGCTTTTATGTGATCTGAAAGTCATGAGGCACAGACAGGTCATTCATCCGGTGCTACAAGAAGGTTTTTGATTTTGAACAACTTTACAAGTATCACAATTGTATTACCATACATTATACAACAGCTCAATAAAGTTTTAATTTTAATTTTCTCTCATCATAGTTGGATTGAAGTTGAATCTGCTTGATCTCACCCTGGAAATTGACCTGCAATATCTGGGTGTGCAATTACCCATACCCCCTCCTGTACTCTTACCCGAAGGAAGTTCAGCATCATCTCAAGGTAACGGATCTTAGTAATATTAACTAACAAGCAAATAAATCATGCCTGAATGATGATTCAGGTTTTCATTGTCATGAATGCATTTTCCCTCTGTAGTCCGGTTTGTTTCAAGGACAGGAAAAACCACTGACTTCACCAAAATTAAAGGATGGAGAGATAAGTTTGCTGGCTCAGGATCCCTTACCGACGGTATGCCATTTTGTCAGCAATTCATTACAAGAATATATCTTTAATATGATATTAACTAACTTGAAATATTGATATGATAATGCTGCTAAAAGAATGTGATTTTGAATTACATTTTATTTGCAGGCATGTCAAGCACAGATGCAGGACAGAAGAACCTCTCCGCATTTTGTAGTGACATGCTGGATGAGTACCTGGCCAGTGAGGGCAAACTGATAGATGAACGAGCTGCAACCTTATCCCAGACTGATGTTACGCATGTTGCATACCGGCTACCCACTAAGAGCACTAGCTACGTTCGTACCCTGGATAGTGTACTTAAGAAACAAGTACCAGCTACCTTATCCACAACATCCAATAAAGTCAAGCCAACTTTCAAGCTCAAGGAGGAAAATAAATCTAAAAAACACTTAAAGTCAGGTATAGGAAAGCAAACAAAACCAGTGCTTACTGTTAACAAACCTGCTTTGCGCTTGAAAAAGCCACAGCAAAACAAGAAATATAAAACTAAGAAGGAATCCAAGAGTTTGAGTGCTGAAAAGCCTGCTCTAGAAACTGCTGCAGTGGTAGCTTCTAATAAGACTCCCGCGGTTGAAGTTTCTGGCTCCACGCCATCAAGTTGTGCAGCTGGACGTACTACAGGTTTGCCTAAGACTCTGGTGAAGCTGATGGATGTGGAAGATGGAGCAGTGTGGGAAGGCAAACACCGTACCTATATCACAGAAGAAAGGGCAGCCATCGCACTAGCCACTCTTGTCACCGCTGAGGTACAAGTCAAAGTGGAACTCATCTTAGTGTGTAGTTTGATTGTCAATAATAACAGAATGTTCTCCAAAACACCTTACATTCTTCCTAATCTCTTTTTCTCTCTGTTTTAAGGGGGTATCAAAAGGAAACCCTGATGCCATCAGAATTATAAGACGACGTGCACCACCCTGCCTCAATGTATTCTGTAGGCTTGGCTGCGTGTGTGCCAGTCTGGTTCACTTGAGGCGACATCATCACTGTGGAAAACCTCAGTGCATGTTGGGCTGTAGCTGCCTACGACGCAAAGTTGTTGCACTTAAGACCCCCAAACAGGAGGAAAGTGCAACAGATGAGTCTGAACCTCAGCGAGTGTCAGAGGAGAACAAGGCTAAATGGAGGAAGAAAAACAAAAAGAGAAAGACTTATGGTCAGTCTATAATTTATTGCAATAGCAGTACTGTTTTCACTACTAACATTTGACCACTTTGCCCATTATTTTAACATAATATTTTTGTATCTTTCCAACATGCTTGTATTGCTTAAAAAGTTGCTTTGAAACAATTTGTATTGAGAAAAGAGTTATGCAAATGAAATTAATTGAATTATGTTGCACTTCTGCTGCAGTACTGACAGATCCGGATACAGCACCTGAACCGGCTAAACGTGTGAGTACATTATGGGATCGAAAAAGAGAAGGTTTGGATTCAGAAGTTCTTTTCTGTCCTCTTCCTCCGAGATCCCCCTGTCCAGCACTCTTGTCTCGAGAATTTCAGCATGACCTGGAAAGCTTTTTCAGTCCTTCAAAACAAAAAAGGGTGAGACACTCAGACTTATAGTTTTAGAAGACATTGCAACCATAACATCAGTTTTGATCACTGTTCATTTAAACGCGCTTTAATGGCTTTACTATTTCATGTGCAATTTTCTTTCCATTATCGATTCCTTGTATTTGTCATTTTTCAAATTAGCTCGGTTTCGTAAGTTAATTGATGTGTACACTTTGATATCCTAAATATTTCCTTACTTTATTCAGATGGAAGAGAGAAATTTGAATATGACTGAGGACAATATGGAGAGCGAGCTTACATGTGCTCGTTCGCGACCGTTTTCCTTCGTGTGCCATGATAAACAAAAAATGGTGAGATTGCTACATGAAGGATGGCACATTTTTGGTAAATAGCATGTGAAAATTTTACACTAACTAAACCTTTTGTAATTTTTGCAGGTTGACCAACACCACATCTCACAGGTCTCTACACAAGGTCAGTTTTGTTCTAACTGGTAATTAGCTAATAGCTGGTGTTATGGTTTGTGTCGGACAACATATTGTCAGGTTCAAGGACAAGTTTAATGTCTTACAAAGCTGGTCCTTAAATTGAAATCCCCTTTTTTCCTTCCACTCACAGATATCGAGGAGGGAGAGCTTGTACCTCTTAATTTGTCTGGCCCTGCCAAGCGGCTTGAGATCATATCCGAATGCAGTTGGGCTAGTACAGACACCAGAAATTATGTTATGCGGATAGTATGTGAGCACATGGCTCAGGATCGTTTGAAGCATCCTTTCTGGATTGGCAAGTACTTCATTCAGCCAGTCTCCAAGACTCTACAAGAGAAGGAGGATGGTTCTGTCGATACATACAAAGTCATCATCTCTCAACATACAGAGAAGAAAACAGAAGACGAGAAGGTTGCGCAAAACAAAGCTGAGCTGAAAAAGGATGTAGAGACGAGTGAGGTGAAAGGTCTGCCCTTCCTCTCCAGGTGTTGTCCTGCAGGCTTGCTCAAGGCTGAGAAAAAAGCACCTGATGCTCCAGGACGGATAATGGTATGCATGCAATTATCTGATAAAACCATTTAGATGTATTGGAATACACAATAGCATAAAGTAAATTTAAGGTGTGGTTATTTTTGAATGGACTAGAACCTGACCTTTAAAACCTGTGATCAATTGTTCTTGCAGGTTAATGGAAAGACATACCCACAAGCCAAATTAGAGCTGGGAAAGATGGGAGCTTTGCACCCTGCCAACAGACTGGCAGCTTATATTACAGGGAGAATATGTCCAGTCAGTCAGTCTGGACCTAATGTGGCAACAACATCAACTGTTACAAAGGCCTCTATCACATCCATTCCGGTCTGTACTGTGTCCACAGTAACTACAGTTACCAGCACGTCTGCTTCTACAACCACACCGCTCATCAAGTCTGTAGGTAAGTCAAGAAAAGGTTCGCAGTTTCACCTCCAGACATTTTCCCCTCAAGGTTATTGACCAAAATATTGGACGTCTAGTATATTATTGAGCAGTGCGTATCACTGTTACATTTGTGCAGCTTTACTGAATGTGAATATGTGCATAACTTAAGTAGCAGACTTAACCTGCTCCTTAATTTGTTTTTTACATAGTGACCAAGCCTTTCCCAGTGGGAAAGGTCTTCACCCAGTTTGTGGTCAACCACATCAACTCTCAAAATCTGTCCAACACTAGCACCTCACACTTACAGCCTTCTGTTCTAAAAATTGTCATCCCCTCCTCCATGTTGATGATTGGAAGGGAGGCTGGGGCTTCTGGGGTGGCTCTTTCTCCTCTTAAAGCAGGCTTGGTTACCCAAGTGTCTAAGCCCTCAGACTCCACAGGTAGCGCTAGTTTTCCCACTGTATCAAAAGTCCAAGCCCCTGCCATAACCATCCTCACTAAATCACCCAGCCTGCCTCTGGGTAAGCCTGGCTTCCTTGGTTTGCCATTGTGTGTCTGTGCTTCCCCCTCCAACAAAACCTTGGCCATGCATCTACTGGGAGAATGTAACATACTTGACCTTCATATGGGTCTGTGCTTGTGATTTAGAGCTTGCTATAGCTTCAAAGTATGATGCTGGATTACTTACATTTTCCTATGTTTTGTGTACCCTTCCCATGATCTTTTTTTTATCATCATTTGTGACTGCTATTGTAGACTTCAACAAAATCTTTGATTTTGATATGACACATTATATCTTAATGTCAGATCTTTTCTCTGTATAGACAGAGATGTAAAGATGTGTGGCACTATGTGTACAGTGGTAAATGAAAATATGAATCTGTTTTGATTCCTCTGGATTCATTCAGCATTGTGAAATTTATGGTAATTGTTAAACATGGTCTGATTAATTTGTAATGTTCAAAACAAAGCAACCAGTCACACATTTTAAACTACCTTTCAATTTGTGGTCATATAGTGTCACATAGTGTCTCAGACCATTTGCAATGCAACTGAGGTGTTTTGCTGTTGTGGACATAATGTGTCACAATCATCATTTGTTTTGATTGTGGGCTAGTTTGGTGCTTTGGGCCTGCTGACTTTATATGCTTCACAATGTCCTTGAATAATTTCACCAAGCAACCAAGTCCAATGTTTAAGTTGCCATAATAAACATTTTCCCTTTTTTCAGGTGTGTCTGGTCTAACCCCAACAACTACTGTCTCTTCACTTGGATCAACCACCCCTGGAAAAAAGACTGTTTATATCACAGTTATGTCCCATAGTACAGGCCTCACCAGTAGTGGTCCAAGGTTTACAAAGCCTGTCACACAGACTCGTCCCCCACAGACCCCAGGCCAAAAGGTGCTGCTTCAGGTGGTGAAGACAGCTGATGGCAACACATTGTACCGTAATCCTAATGGCCAGCTGTTGCAGTTGGTGCCTCTAAGTCAAATCAAAGCTATCAAACCCAGCCTCCTATCTCAAGGTCAACGTAAGTGGTTCTGGAATACCATATTAATTGGTTCAGGAAAAAAAGTAAATATAGATGTGTAACATATACATTTGGCAGACACTTTTATCCAAAGCCACTTTGCATTCAAGGTACACATTTACATTTTGTTAGTCCATGCTTTCCCTGAGAATGCTTTCCCTGAGAATTGAACCCATGACATTGGCATTGCTTGCACCATACTCTACTTTTTGAGCTACAGGAATGCCTATTAGCCTTATATATAGTTATAGTTGTATATTGTATGTATAGTTAGTTGTATAGCCATTTTGTTAAAAATGTAAACTAATAGCAGCTCCAGTCTTGAAACAACATGGTTACACAGATTTCAAGTGTTTTCAAAATGGTATTTAAATTCACTATTAGTGGTTTAATTTGTTAGTGTTTTGCTGGCAAACACGGTTTAAAATCAGAATTGATGTCATTTTTGCGTAGCATGTTCTAAACATTATTTTACTGAAATCCGGTGAGAAGTTCATAAACTTGTTTGGAGAAATAGCAAAACAAATGTGTGCTTATCCCCAAAAGGCATTATATTATTATGTTATTATATTAATTAATAATTATGTCTTTATCCCCCGCAGCAACTTTTATTCGTTTGCCCACACCTACTGCAGTCAATCCAAAAAAGCTTCAGGGTGGCAGCGCTACCATAGTCACATCTTCCAGCCCAACGCCACAAATGCAGACAAAGCCTGCTGTCACTATACCAGTCTCTACATCTTCATCTATGAGTGGCAAGCCAGTCACACTCACTTCATCCAAGACGGTCTCATTGAGCAGCCTTCCTTCTACCCTTAAAGTTGTCCCAGGTTTTCTGGGACAGTCTGGCACTTGCACATTAAGGATTCTCCCACCAAATCCTGTTCAAAACACTGGAATTATCATTCCAACTTCCTCCCCTATCCTCCCTCAGAGTGGCTTTACCTTGCTTAAGCATGGAAGTTCAACGCTACTGAACCAAAGCTCCACTAAGTCTGAGACTGCCGTTTCTGTTAGCTCAGTTTCAACAGAAGGGGCAATCAGTCATGTCCGTAACCAATCTGAAATGGATCCTTCTAAACAAAAAAGCTGTGACGGTTCTGAACTAATAGCAGAAAATATATCAGAGCTTCCATCTTCTGCTGCCTCCTCTCCAAATCCCAGTCAGTTTTCTGGAGGTGGTTCGAGTTTGGCTGAAGCTGGTAACAGAGCTAATCCCAAAGTGAAAGAAACACATTTTAACATTGCTCCAGTTTCTGAAGAGGAAGAGATTGGTTCGGATGTAACAGAATTAACTGATGACTCTGACTTGTACAGTGATGATGACCGAGAAGATGCATGTAGTTTGAGTGTAAGAGCTTTGTAAAATTGACTCTTTTCACCTTTTCTGAATAATTTAATGTAGCTCAACAAACTATTATATTGTTTGTTCAGACTAGTTTTATTTTTTATCCAGGGTTCTGATAAAGAAGAGAGGCTGTTGGATACAGATGGTTTGGGCTCTGAGATGAAAGATTTTGCAGAGGTGGTGGTTGATATTGAGACTATTGAAGAGTCTGCCGAGGAAAACTATATTACCAAACTTCAGGCATCTGCATTGAGGCGGAATCAACATCAGAGGTAATGCACACCTGATTAACGTCTGATTATGTGGAAGTGTAGTTTGCTTCTTTTTTTTTTTTTTATGTTTTATTTTGGTATTTAACCTGATTCATTTCTACACTACGAGTGCATTTAGAAATGGATGCTTTGCTTATAAAAGTGAACCAATTATTTTTAAACGTTTTGCAGTGACCAGAAGCACATTCATGATGAAAGGTTGGAGGTGAGGGTCAAGGTAAGTTTTATCCTCTGTTTCACACATACATTTTTTTAAATGACTGATCCAACCCTTTCTATGTGTTTTGTAACATACACGTGTAATATATTTCATGCATTGTATTATAAAATATCTTTGTACAGAGAGTGAGGCTGGAGAGAAAAAGGCGCCACACACTTAAAGAGTGCTTTCTTAAACTTCATGCAACACTCGGAAAGCCTTCAAAAAATCTTAAGACCTCCAAGATGAGAATCCTTACAATGGTTTGTTGTTGGTTTTGCTTCATTTCATGCTTGTAATCACATTGAAAATATTGTTTGTTTTATGGCTTTTTTTTTTTTTCAAGGCTCAAAAAGAGATAGAGTCCCTGGTTAACCAGGAGGACCACTTAGTAGAAAGAAGAGCGAGGCTGCAATTTAAGAGACAGCGTTACCTACAGACACTTTCACTATTGTGTGGTAAGGCAGTCCTTCAGACAGTGGAATCATTTTTTTCTTGCACACAAGTTGTTATAACTTCGTATTTGTGATGTATTCTTATATTAAATGATATAATGTTAATGCATGAACATCTGTGTTTTGCTAACAAACATTGTATCTGTTTTTGTCCACAGAAAAGAGTACAGAGTCCATCAGGCAGAAGCTTAATGAAATTATTGCTAAACAAAAATCCCTGGAAGCCCAGTCTAATGCAAAAGAGATGAAGTCCCAGCTGAACCAGGCAATGCCCAAATCTAAACCCAAACGTAAACTAGCTGATCTAGGAAGTAAACAGAAAGGTTTAGCATACCAGAACAAATTGAAAGATGTTCCCAAACCTACATATTCTCCTTCCAAACCAATGGACTTGAGTATTAAAAAACAAAAAAGCCTGGAACAGACTGAAAGTGTTTCCAAATCCGCACCAGCCTCGCCTGCAAACCTCGATGCTAGCAAAAACTCTCTTAAAACTCAGGATAAAGAGAAAAGTAGCACGTCTAAACCTTCTCAGCCATCCTTTAACTCCAGTCCACAAAAGAAACCTGTCTCTGTCCCAAGTCCTGTAAAACATTCCCCAATACCACGTGAGAGAACGCGTCCAAACATTCTCTCCCGTGCTACATCCCAGATGATACAAGGATCTCCAGTCAACGAGCCTCTTTTTACTAATGGTTAGTCAGAGAAGAAAACATTTACCTAATTTTTGCCATGTTGACTTGACTTGGATGGAACTGGTTTTTGGATGTTCACACTTTTCGATGTCTCTTGTGTTTTGTTTAGTGTGTATACCTCAAGCATTCCCTCTGATGAATACCATGGTTCCATGCAACCAAATCATAACCATAAACAACCCACTTCAACCAATTGGCATCACCTCTGTAGGGACACAGCAATCATCCACACCAGGTTTGTCTCTGAACAGGTTAATGATGCTTTTAAAAATGTCATGGCTATAATAAGTGATATGATAAGCATTTTGTGTTCGTCTTTTCTTTTTTTACTAGGTGTTGCATCTGTGTCCATAGTTCCTGCAGTATCACACCCGGTTGGAGTGAAAAATCCCCTTCCATTGTTGCGGTCTCAGTTTATTAAAATTACAAACAGTCCTGTTAATATTAACACACAAGGTGAGTTACCTTGGCTGGTATAGTCATATATTGATTGAATCAGATTATTTATTAAGTTGACTACATTTTTCAGTATGGAAGCCCGTTTCCGCAACTGAATAAAAAATTTAAAAGGTAATTGCGACTTTTATCTCACAATTCTGACTTTTCTTTCTCAGAATTACATGATGTAAACTCGCAAGTGCACAAAAGTCAGAATTGTGTGATATAAACTTCCAGTTGCGAGTTACAAAGTCAGACCTGCGTGATATAAACTTGCAAATCTGAGAAATAAAGTCACAATTCTGAGAAATAAAGTGAGAATTGTGAGATATAAACTCGCAATTATGACTTTTTTTTTCTCAGAATTGCAAGTTTAAATCTTGAAATTCTGACTTTATAACACACAGTTGCGAGTTATAAAATCAGAATTGTGAGAGAAATTCGCAATTGTCCGAAAATAGTATTTTTTCCCCTCAGAATTGGACTTTATAACTTCATGTTGCCATTTAAGAAAGTGTATTTTTATTTTATGTTTATTATTTGTTTGTGTTTTGTTTAGTTCATTTGTTAATTAAGAACGAAAATTGTAAACGTCATAAGGGCGTGGTAAATCGGACGGCAGTACGCTGGAAGAAAGGAAGTGGGTCAGACATTTTTTTAACCACTTCATACGTTTTTGTTTGTAGAATCCTTTTTTTGGAACGAGTTTCGTTTGGTATAATTTGTATCTTCATTTTAATGTTTTTTGTTGGTCAATATAAATAAATAATTTTACAAATAAACAAGAAGGAATAAATGTTTCGTGGAATGAAGTGTGTTCAAGACAAAGCCCGCTACCATGCTTCCGCGGCCAAAACATAACTTGCAATGTGAGTTTATATCTCACAGTTGTGAGAAAATAAGTCAGAATTGCGAGAGGTCAGAATTGAGATATAAACTCAATTATGAGGTAAAATAATTTCTCAATTGCGAGATACCAACTTGCAATTCTGACTTTTTTCTCGTAATTGAATTTATTTCTCGTTCTGACTTTATTTCTCAGAATTGTGACTATTTCTCAGAACTGTAATCTTATATCACACAATTTTGACTTTGTAACTCGCAATTTCGAGTTTATATCATGCAATTCTGAGAAAAACACTTGAGAATTGCAAGTTTATATCTCACAGTTCTGAAGAAAGATACAATTTTGAGAGAAAAAGTCGCAATTACCTTTTTTATTTTTTATTCAGTGGCGGAAACAGGCTTCCATACTTCAGTGATATTCATATGGGTAAAATATGTTTATTTTGCAATGCCTCATTTTCAGTGGATTCCGCCAACCTTCCAAATATCACCAATGTTATTTCTCTGGTTCCACCGGTGGAGAATCTGGTAATACCACAGAAAGTTGTGGAAGATACATCTGTTGTCCAGGCACAGCCAACATCTGTCCCTGCACCTGTGGAGAATCAGCAGAACCCTTCAGATGTTAAAATTCCTGATTTGGAGGAAAGGGCAGTTGTGGATGAGCCTCAATCCAAGGATGTCCCCAAACAACCTGTTGGAGGAGATGAGAACAGTGCATCTGTTACTTCATCCAACCAAGAAGGACTGGACAAGAAAGGTCCGGATGACTGCAACGATCCTGAGGATGAAAATCTCATGTCTTTGTTAGACGAACTTGTTCTCCTTAGCCAGCAGCTGAGTAACGAAGATGAAGATCAGAGAATTGTCGTGCCAGGCGAGATACAGTCATGTTCGGACAAGCAGGCAGATGAAGAACGGGATGATGACCGTGCTCTCAGTCCCTTGTTCCTAACTCTGGATGAAGATCTAATGTCTCCAGACTCTAAAGATGAAATCGATATCCCACCCAAAGTGGATGACTTGGTCAAAGTCATTTTTGGATCAGATTCACCTTCCGTTTCATCTGAATCTGGGGTTGCACCATCAACAAACGTTCAGAGTCCACATGCCCCAACGTGCAACGATAAAGGTGATGCCCCTACACTGCCACCTCTGTTGCACATGAAAGCTGCATGTGAAGCTGCATCAGGTCAGTCTACCAATGAAGGGACCAGTGTGACATGGCGGCCTATGCCTAAACTGGTTCCTCTAGGGTTAAAGGTTCAAGACACTGTTTTGAATAAGGTGACTGGCTCCCCAGTTCTCAAACCAGACTCAAACGAGGAAGATGTTCATAGAACACAAATGTGATCTACCAATCAGTGTATCAGGTATAGCTGCTGCTTACGTTTAACATGTTTATGTACAGAATAGGTTTTTTTTAATGTATTTATTGTTTGTTTGCTGTCAAATTCCTGCTGCTGTGGGCGCCACCTGTTGTGCCTCTGGTAAATCCAAAGACTTTTGTTGATTTGACCTTTTTTTGTTTTTTTGTATACTCAAACTACTAGACCAGCTAGATGTCTGACTGGTTTTGCTAGCAATTGTGCATCAACTCTTTGTGGTAATAGTTGTGAAAGAAGCTGTTTACTCATCCTAACCTCCATATTGGAGCATGTTATTTTTTTCCCATTGGAGTTCATTAAGAAAATAAAAGAAAAAGTTTACTTGCTCTTTAAACATAGGATTATTTCTCCCTTAGCGCAATGAAGGTGAAGCTGATCATTATTGTTTGTGCTGGGAATTTTGTGTGATCATTAGGGTGGTTTTCCAGGTGACCTTTTTAGGTATAATTGAATTTGCCCAGTGACTTTTAACAGTAAAGCCGTATCACCCTTGAGTTTATCTGCTAATGAGATTACACAAATGTCACTGTCTTTGCATCTAGTTGAAACTTGAACCACTGTCGATTAAACCCATTTACATGAATGCATGTTAAGGCAATAATAGATGTTAAATTCAGAAAACAGGCTGTGTTCTTGTTACAGAAAAGCTAGATTATATACATATATCTTATGTTGAGTGCCTTTCAACAGGTTCTTCTATATGCATATTGGGACATAGGTTTGTTGAATTAGGGAATAGTAAACCTATAACAATAGCATTAGGAGCTTAGGAATAAAAGGATATAGTGTATCCACTGCTGAGGTTTACTCTAATGTGTTAGTACTGTGTTTTTAATTCTCTTTTGACTTTTTTTGTTTTGTTTTGAAAGTAATTGGTGAAGTTTGAGTGCAGTCAGTTTATTGCATTTGAACGTTTTAGTTTTGAAAACCTTATTTCCCCCACCTCAACAGCAACATAAATTATAATGAAGCATTTCAAAGGGTTGTAACGCTAATGTCACACTTCCAATGAGGTGGTTAACTTCAAGAGATCCCTCAGTTTGAGCTTACAAATGTAGTAATCACTATGCAATTGTTTTGCTTTAGATTTAGACAAAATAGGTACAGATAAACTACATAGGAATGTTACGCTACATACATCGAGATGCAGTCACACAGTTTATGTTCTTGTGTATATTTAATGCTACACTTTTTTTTTTTTACTTTTTTTTTTTTTTAAATACGTTAGCTTGTTAAAAGTGTATATTGGCCAATATAACTTCTTGGATATTGTAAATATGTAAAATATATTCCTTTTTGTTAGTCTGAAAGCTTAAATACTTATTTTTTATATGCTATAAATCAGTGCTGTCTCTCTCCTTTGTAAAAGAGATGGATGTCTTTTCAAGTTAATAAAGATGTACACAAGTCTGTGAAAGTAAAGTTTTTAAAGTTTTCTTTTGCATTAATGATTATTGGCATTGTGGTTCATTAAAACAGCAAGATTAAAAAGAAGCTCTTTCATCTTTATATTCTGCTTAGTCTAAAATGTGCTCCTTTGAGATAAACCGTGTAGAGTTTTTTTGTAGATATTGTTTATTAGAATGTCATTTTATTTTTACCAATTAGCGGTTGACCACATTCTGTTGTTCAATACATAATACAAAAAAATGTATGATGAAAAATTAGATGTTAATGAACATGCTTAAGTTCATTTAAGCATATTTTACTGTTTATATTTACTCCGTTCACTAAAATAATGTCAACAATTTGTTACTCCAACAAGGTTGTTGGAAGATATTGGAACTAAACTGGCAAAATGGACATTGTTATCAGTAAATTTTATCAATCTTAAAATATCCATATGGTCTCGATTATCGGCTTACGACGCTTTTGGGAAATGTAGCCCAGGTTGATACATCAATCAGTCACCACTAACAAGTGTCCAAAAACATAGAAGAAATGTTTCATTTGAGATTTGATCTAGACTTTTGACCATTAAAGAAGCAGTTAATTATCAACTCATGGTCTTTACTTTGAGCACAGCTCCCAAGAGCAAATACGTATGTATTTCAAGGAGGGATCAGGGTTAATATACAGCAGTTGACAAATGGGTGTAATCAAACCTCTTTCAGCTTTCTCAAGGTAAGAGAGATTTTTGCTCTGTGTTGCATGAGATGAGACCGAAATTGTGATTGAGTTCAGCATCCAGACCAAATTGGTGCTGGGAAGCTAAGAATAATAATTTACGAGAGAGAGGTAACTAATTTGGTCTTTTTTTCTCTTAAAAAGAATATAGACCAAGCATAAGAAATGTCGGCAGTAAACAACCGTTCTTACTGGGCTTGGACAAAGAACTGCACCTACCCCAGTGATTTGGCCCTTCCTTTGGTTCCATACATGGATTGTCCCTCCAACCGCATGTACGGCTCCAACTTCATACCTCTTGTCTTTTACATACTTTCCATCCTTGGAACAATTGGAAACCTCTGGAGCCTGTGGGCTTGCCTGCGGCCGTCCCAGCCTTGGAGTATTGGGTCCATAGGTGTACTGAACCTGGCTCTATGTGACCTTGCTTATCTGGCTTCTATGGGACCCTGGGCTGTCTATATTAGCGCCGACTACCACTGGAAAATTGGCCATTCGCTCTGTGTCGTGGTGAAAATCTTATACTTCGGTGGGTTGGTGTCTAGTACCATGTTCATTTGCGCCATCAGCACTGACCGTTTCTTTGCAATCGTCTTCCCTCTGGAGTCCCGGATGATCCGGACCCCTCGGAACAGTGCACTGGTTTCGCTTCTACTCTGGGCCATCACCGCCCTCTTCATCTACTTCAGTTATCCTAACATTCTCTATTGGGTCAGGAAGGATGGCATCCATGTGTGTGGAGCGGTGGTGATCTCCAGGTTCAGGACCACTGAAGTAACCTACAATCTCCTGTCCCACTACTCCATTCAGGTTTCTGTCCCACTGCTCCTCATCATTCCATCCTATGTGAAGATTATTTCCCGGATGAAGCAGTCACGGCAACAGTGGGGCCCAGGCAACATGCAAGGCCTGGACAAGACCATCTGGCTGATTGCCGTTTTCATTGCCAACTTCCTGGTGTGTTGGGTGCCTGGGCAGCTGCTTCACATCATCGCCTGTATAATTTTCTTCAGTTTGGATCACTGCAAAAATGCTTGCTGGGTTGCATGGGTGGTCAATCTGCTCTCTGAATCCTCCCAAATACTGTACTGCCTCAATGCATGTCTTGATCCTTTAATTTTCCACATGCAGCAGGGACACGGTGAACTGTCTCCTATGGTTGCATTGGCAAACTGGGCTAGAATGTTCTTGCAGGTAGGTAAGAAACGAGATTTGGGAGGGCCTTCAGAGGAACCTGTCAGTGTCATCCAACTTCATGGTGGTTCAAAAGACAGAATTGGAAAAACTCAAAATGATAAGAACATGAAAAAGTGATATTTTAAAAGACCACCCATAAATGTTTAGTTGCTCAATTGTAAGTTGATGCATTTAATGTTTTCATGTTCTTGTGCTTGTGTTGTTTGGCAAGAGCTTTAGTATTGGGAGTAAGTCTGATATCTTGTAATGTAGCTATTAACTTACGATTTTTTTTCTTACTGATGTAGTTTATTAATAAAAGGTGTATGAATGCTTCGTGACAAGGCAAGAAAATCTTGTGTCTGTATGTCTGACTCACTGTTTCCTCTAAAATGAGTTCTATCTAAATATAAATCGCTCTAAAAGTGGCCATATAGTACAAGTCAGATGAGTTTACCGTTACATTACATTTAAGCGTTTAGCAGATGCTAAAACTAATAAAAGACGAACAAATCAATTAATGAAAGAGCCAACAACTGTAGGACACATTACCAGGTTCATTAGACAACTAGGTTAGGAAACGAGCTAGAGAAGAGAAGGAATGCATTGTACAGTAAGTGCACTGGTTTACTGTTGAATGAGGGGGGGGTGGGGAGTAAATCCTAAGGTACTTCTTGGCATCACTAGATAGATGGCAGACTATTTATACAAAAAAAAAGCTATACTTCATCCATAATTCAGTCCAACAAATGTTAACACTAACAAATTACCTTAAAATGTAATTAAGTACCTTTTTAACAACAAACAGTAAAGGGAATGATAAATGTTGTTTTTGTCATTCAGTTACTGCTGTTTCAGTCTTAATAGCAGAGCAAACTCAATTTGTTCATCATCAATCTCCATTTGCCAGCTTAAATACATACATGTATATATAGAGAGAGAGAGACAAAATCACAAAATTTGGTATATGGGCATGAAAAAGCTACATGGGTATCACAGAATGGCATTAGGTCTAGACTGGAGAATTGCAACCATGCAGTGTTTACATTGGAACCATTGCTGTAAAATGCAAACAACATTTACCCTGTAGATGGTATGTTACTGGTCCAAGATGGTACATTTGTGCTTAAACCAGCTTAAACCAGCTACCAGGTTGAAAAACGGAGTTACCAGCTTAAACTGCATTTTCCAGCTGGGGGAAATGGATATGATAATGCCACAGTTTTCTGTTCTACTATTAATTCAGTTATTTGCAAACATCAAAATAAACACTTTGCCTAAAGTAAACGAATTGTCTACACTGCAGTATCACACAACCGCCCATAGGTGCAGTATAGTAGTCATGCGTTATATGTGTATTTAAAGTATATGGCTAAGTGGCTAAGGCAAATTTGAATATTAATTCGGTCAAGCACGCAACAATTCGTACCCTTCCCGGGGTATCAAGGCACGTCATCTCATTCATATTCAGGAGCCGAGAGTTCCCCCATAATAGAAATCGTTAATTGGTCAGCTGACTAGCATCCGCCTCCCGACGTCAGCCTTTCAGCCAATCAGGAAAGCCGACCGAAAAAAACGTCGCCTTGCATAATTAATATTCATGAGCCTTGCCTTTACAGTAGTATGGTTTGTAAATACACACACCGTACCGGAGAAGGTATCACGGCTGGAGGTTGTTCGCGGAGCTTTCAGACCGGCTCGCCGTCAAACTGCTGACACAAAACATGAAACATGGTCCATTTTAACAAATGGACGTCAGTGAGGAGCGCGTCTCTCACCGACAGGACTACCGCACGGGATTTAAAGCTCCCATAGTGGTTCGCGATGACGGTGGATTGGTTTAGTATATGAAATAAAAGGCTGTGAATGGATCATGGCTTATTTTAAACGCGTATCGTTGGTTTAATTGATTACCGACTGTGATTGTAGCGCCCCGCCATTTGTTTGCTGGAAACATTGATTCAACAGCGCACCAAATCAAGATGACAGTGGAAAACACAACTATCAAAAGTCGGATTAAAAATCTGCTTCGTTCGCCTTCCATCAAATTGAGAAGAAGTAAAGCTGGGAACAACAAAGAGAATCTCAGTAATAAGGTACAGTGCACTACTTACGTTAAATGACACGAAGCATGAATGGAATCTGTATCTGCAGTTTATCAGGATAGCTGTGATTTTCTGCAGTTTAATGCAAGGTGACAGTGAATTGGCACTAATATGTCAGAATCTTTCCAGGGTTTTGTTGTGTAAACTCTACATATGCATAATGTGGCTCTGTCAGTACAATGCAACAGCAAGATTGTAAAATTCACTGTCACATGTCACAAATCACTTCAAGCCCCGGTAAACGGCATGCTGGGAAAATATAATGCACAATAAAAAAAAAATGTTATAATATAAATTGCCCTGAATTCATTAAACACTGGTAATGTTGCAGTGAAAATAAATTGCACAAAAATGCACTGCGATATACAGAAACCCTCAGTTTTTAATATAAGATAATATAATATTGGGTGCCTTTTAAGTTTGGAGATTGAGGGCACCCTTTATTCAATATATAATATAATTTAATAAAAAAAAATTCAAGCAGTGGTAAAGTGCATGTTGTGAAAATATAATGCACAAATATGCATTATTATTATTGTATCAGAGTAGTCATCACTGACTGCTGCATTCCATTCAGATCGCCTGGTTACTGCTGCAGACCCTTGGATGACTGTACTTCCCTTTCATACACAGGAGCCTTGTGACTTTATGATTGTTGAGACTGTTGTGCAACTGAAACGAATGCCTTGAATAACTCTTGAGACCTCAGCTGCATATGATTTGTTGCTCATAAATTACACACTGTTGTTCTCACTAGCACATTTTCTGTAACCAAATCCATATCTATATGGAATTTTTCACTAGTCTGTAGTGTTCATAGTGCTGGCTAAGGCATCACTGATATTATTGCTCAATTTATGCCCCAACTCATATTAAACTTAAGTTTTATTACATTTTATTATTTAAAGGGGTCATATGATGCTTTTTTAAAGATCATTATTTTGTGTATTTGGTGTAACAGAATATGTTGACATGTTTTAATGTTCAAAAAACACATTATTTTTCAAATACTGTACATTATTGTAGGTCCTCTATGCCCCGCCTCTCTCAAACACGTCGTTTTCAACAAAGTCCCTCCTTCCGACAAGCGCAGTCTGCTCTGATTGGCCAGCTGACCCAGTGCATTGTGATTGGCTGAACACCACAAGCACTCGTCGGAAATGTAACGCCCCTTACCATAGTCGCAAGCTTCATCTTTCAAAATAAATGTAAAGACAGTAAATAATGTCGTTAGTTTTACCATCAGTTCAAGCCCGAAAGGGGAACAGACACAGTAATGACGCAGTACACAAGAAAACTTGAAATCGCATCATATGACCCCTTTAAAGAATAGTTCACCCAAAAATGAAAATTTGCTCAGGCCATCCAATATGTAGATGAGCTTGTTTCTTCATCAGAAAAGATTTAGAGTTCACCAATGGATCCTCTGCAGTGAATGGGTGCCGTCAAAATGAGAGTTTAAACAGCTGGAAAAAAACATCACAAAAACATCATTCACACATGATCTCTTAATGGTAATTTACCGGTAATTTACCAGTAAAGACTGTATGTGTAAAAGGGGCTTATAAAGGATTGACCCAAGCTGTGTTGTGGGACCAAAATATAATAAGCAATTTTAAACATTTATGGTTCCTGAATGGTTTCAAAGCACAATTATATTAAAAAGGCAAATTTAATACTACATTGGTCAGAGAAGACACCTTCTGCAATTAAATTTCATGCATTTAACATGCATTTCATAATAAAAAATAAAAAAATCCAATACTATCAAACCGTGATGATCACTGCTGTAGTGTAGAGACAATATTTTGTACATACTACCATTTAAGCGCTATGCAAAAGACTCTGTCAAGGTGCCTTTGTTTCGTACAAAAGAGCAGATCTGTCTCTCTTTTTGCCTAAAGCGGTTGAGGAATCTCCGGTGTACAAATCCAGACAAAGGTATCTGAGCTTTTTGTAAGACTATACATCCGTTCAGCTCTTAGACAGGGCTCTATTTTCCAAGGTTTACACACTGTATGAAAATCAAAGCCATTCCTCCAGGTGCTGTGCAGTTCATTGACTCAAGGACTTTGCTGTTCTCCGAGGATCCAACATACAACGATTGCAAGAAAGTTTCTGGAAAAGTGCATGACACAGCCGTGGGTTCAGAAATTCCCATTAGAGATGCTGAATGAGAAATGGTTTAAAAACAGCATGCATTTGAAAACAAGCTCTTTTTCCGTTGTTACAGCACTAAGAGACACAGTGGATATATGGAGGTCTGTCAAAACATCTTTGGAAAGATGATAAATCAAAGCAACAACCACAGTTATAGTGTTTTTATATCAGCATGTTCAGCACAAATTGTGGTAGTACACTAAGGCTACATCCAGCTTACGGTGGGATAATGAATGTACATACGTAGCATTTGAAGTCCAAACGCTGACTTCAGCTTATGGATTTCTTGAAACCTGCATTTTTGGAGGATAAAGCAGCAGTAAATGGAAAGACAGGTTTATAAGGATGCAGGCTGTCTTTCCATTTACTGACGGCAGAATTAGAGGAGACCACTTCCATAAACCAGGTGTTGTTCCTTTCATTTCTCCGTTGACCTGTACTTAAAGTGGCCATGATTGATGTGAGAGAGTGTTATTAGCTTGGATATGGCCATGCTTTCTTTGAAGAGATGGTCTAGCAGAGGTTTTAAAGGTATCAGATGTTGAAGACAGGTGTAGAGGTTCAATAAATTGGTTTTTATTGCACTTAAATTGCTGAAAAAACATAGTGCATGTGCATTACTCATTGTTTTTGCTGGAATGATAGTATGACATTATGTGTTCATCTTATTACGCAATCTCTAATTACGGTAGTAACAACTTTGTGTAATTGCTGGCTGATTACCAAATAATTGTTTTTTAAACACATTATAAATTACTGTTAATCAGTGCTTATGCAGTGCAAAATGGACACTATAATGGGAATGTTATTGAAACATTACCCAGCCTGTTTACTGTTTGCAGACTTGTGCATTTTATATTTAAGCTTGTTTTTGTGCTTCAAGAACGTGTTGCTTTGAGTTTGAACAGTTCAGCACTACTTAA